CTGCAGTGTCATTTTTTTCCTACATGGCCTTTTCAAAGTGGATAGAGCTAGGATGACTTTTTTTTATAGGCAGTCAGACAAATATATACATTTATTTATTTAAATAAATTTGTTTTGACAACTCAAGTTCATTCTTTTTTTTTTTTTGAGACAGAGTTTCATTCACTCTTTTTACCCAGGCTGGAGTGCAGTGGCACGATCTCGGCTCACTGCAACCTCTGCCTCCTGGGTTCAAGCAGTTTTCCTGCCTCAGCCTCCCTAGTAGCTGGGACTACAGGTGTCCACCACCACACCCAGCTAATTTTTGTATTTTTAGTAGAGACAGGGTTCACCATGTTGACCAGGATAGTCTTGATCTCTTGACCTCGTGATCCACCTGCCTCGGCCTCCCAAAGTGCTCGGATTACAGGAACTCAAGTTCATTCTTAATCTCCCATTCCATATTTGTTTATTCTTTTTCTCACAGTGAGAGACCTAATAATCAACAACTTATATATTTGCTCACTTTTACTGATGTATACATACAATACTACAAGTAACAATAAACCTACTAAGATACATTCTAGATTCGCTTCCATTTTTTTCTTTTATGTTTAGTTAGTATGTAATAATTGTATGTATTAATGGGATACAGTGAATTTGTTACATGTATATAGTATATAATGATCAAATCAGGGTAATTAGCATATCTGTCACCTCAAATACTTATCATTTCTTTATACTGTGAACATTAAAGATCTTCTTGTAGCTTTTTGAAAATATGCAATACATTAACCAGGCATGGTAGCTCACACCTGTAATCGCAGCACTTTAGGAGGTTTAGGTAGGTGGATCACGAGTTCAGGAGTTCAAGACCAACCTTGCCAACATGGTGAAACCCTGTCTCTACTAAAAATACAAAAAATTAGCCAGGTGTGGTGGTGCATGCCCGTAATCCCAGCTACTCAGGAGGCTGAAACAGGAGTATCACTTGAACTCCAGGAGGCGGTGATTGTGGTGAGCAGAGATCGAACCATTGCACACTAGCCTGGGCGACAGAGCAAGACCCTGTCTCAAGAAAAAAAAAGAAAATATACAGTAAATTCCGGCTAACCTTGTTCACCCAACAGTGTTACAGAAGGCAGGAACTCATTCCTCCCATCTAGCTGTAATTTTGTATCCATTAACCAATTTCTCCTTTCCCCTCCTACCTCCCCTTTCAAGCCTCTGATACCCATAATTTTACACTATACTTCCATAGGCCCAGTTTTTTTTTAAGCACCCACAGATGAGTGAGAACATAAGGTGTTTTTCTTACTGTGCCAGATTTATTTCTCTTAACATAATGTGCCCTAGGGTAATTCATGTTGCCTTTATGACAGGATTCCATTCTCTTTGTGGCTGAATAGTATTCCATTGTGTATATATAGCATGTTTTGTTTATCCATTCATCTGTTGATGGACATTATGGTTGATTTTGTGTCTTAGCTGTTGTGAATAGTGGCTAAGCTGCAATAAACATGGGGATGCAGTTATCCCTTTGATATACTGATTTCCTTTCTTTTGGAATAATACCCAGTAGTGAGATTGCTGGAATTATTTTGTGATTCTGTTTTGAGTTTTTAAAGAAACCTCTACACTGTTTTCAATAGTGACTGTACTAATTTATATTCCTATGAACAGGGTGTATGAATTTTCTTTTCTCTGCATTTTGCCAGCACTTACTTTGTCTTTTTTCATAATAATCAGTCTAACTGGGGTAAGATGATACCTGATTGTGATTTTGACTTGCATCTCCCTGAAGATAATGACGTTGAGCTCTCTCTGTATATAGATTTGTTGGCCATTTGTATGTTTTCTTTTGAAAAATATCTATTCAGATCATTTGCCCACTTTTTAATTGGGTTATTTGGGTTTTTTGCTGTTGTTTAAGTTCCTTATATATTCTGGATATTAATTCATGTCAGATGCACAGTTTGCAAATGTTTTCTTCCATTCAACATGTTGTCTCTTTACTTTGTTATTTTTATTGCTGTGTAAAAAACTTTTCAGTTTAAGTCCCATTTCTCTATTTTTGTTTTTTCTTGCCTGTTCTTTTGATTTCTTAGCCATAAAATCTTTGCCTAGACCAATGTCTTGAAGTGTTTCCCCTATAGTATTGTAGTTTGGTCTTATTTATAAGTCTTTAATTTATTTTAAGTTGATTTTTATATATGGTGAGAGATATGGGGACTAGTTTTGTCCTTCTGCATGTTGTTATCCAAATATTCTAGCATGTTTATGGAAGAGATGTTCTTTATCCAGTGTATGTTCCTGACACCTTGTCAAAAAACAATTGGCTCTAAAAGCATGGATTTATTTCTGAGTTCTCTATTCTGTCCCATTGGTCTGTGTGTTTTTATACCAATACCATGTTGTTTTAGTTACTATAACTTTATAGTGTATTTTAAAGTCAGGTACTGTAATACCTCCAGCTTTATTCATTTTGTTCAATATTGCTTTGGTTATTTGGGGTCTTTTGTGGTTCGGTATGAATTTTAGGATTGTTTTCTAATTCTGTGAAAAATGACTTTGGTATATTGATAGGGATCGCATTGAATCTTTAGATCACATTGGGTAGTGTGGTCATTTTAACAATATTAATTCTTCTAATTCATGAGTATGGGCTGTCTATTTTTATTTTTTGGTTCTCTTCAATTCTTTAATCAGTGATTTTATAGTTTTCATTGTAGGGATCTTTTACCTTCTTGGGTAAATTTATTCCTAGGTATATTTTTAATATTTTATAGCTATTTTAAATGGGATTGTTTTATTGATCCCATTGATTACTTATTGAGCTAGATCACTCTTGGTATATAAAGTGCTACTAATTTTTGCATGCTGACTTTGTATCCTGCAACTTTACTGAATTCATTTATCAGTTCTAAAAGTATTTTTGGTGAAGTCCTTGGGTTTTTCTATATATAAGATCATGACATCCATAACGAGGATAGTGACTTCCTCTTTTCCAATTCAGATGCCCTTTATTCCTTTATTTTGCCTAATTGCTATGGCTGGAACCTCCGTTACTATGTTGAATAACAGTGGTGGAAGTAAGTATTTGTGTCTTGTTCCAGATCTTAGAGGACAGACTTTCAGCTTTTCCCGCATTAAGTATGATAGTAGCTGTGGGTTTCTCATATATTGCCTTTTATTGTTTTTTTGTTTGTTGTTTGTTTGTTTTTTTGAGCTGGAGTTTCGCTCTTGTTACGCAGGCTGGAGTGCAATGACACGATCTTGACTCACCGCAACCTCCGCCTCCTGGGTTCAGGCAATTCTCCTGCCTCAGCCTCCTGAGTAGCTGGGATTACAGGCATGTGCCACCATGCCCAGCTAATTTTTTGTATTTTTAGTAGAGACAGGGTTTCACCACGTTGACCAGGATAGTCTCGATCTCTTGACCTCGTGATCCACCTGCCTCAGCCTCCCAAAGTGCTGGGATTACAGGCTTGAGCCAGCCTTTTATTGTTTTAAGGTATGTTTCTTCTTTGCCTAATTTCCTGAGAGTTTGTATAATGAAGCGATATTGAAATTTATCAAATGTTTTTTCTGCATCTATTGAGATCATTGTATGGGTTTTGTTCTTCATTCTGTATCACACTGATTGACTGGCATGTATTGAACCATCCTTGCATGCCTGGGATAAATCCCACCTGATCATGGTGTATTATCTCTTTAATGTGTTGTTGGGTTTAGTTTGCTAGTGTTTTGTTGACAACTTTTGCCTCTGAGTTCACTGGGGATTTGGGCCTGTAGTTGCTCTTTTGGTGTGTCTGGTTTGGGCATTAAGCCAATGTTGATCTAGTAGAATGAATTAGGAAGAATTCTCTCAATTTCCAGTTTTTTGGACTAGTTTGAGAAGAATTGGTGTTAGTTCTTTCTTATGTTTGGTATAATTCAGAGGTAAAATCATCTGATGCTGGGCTTTTCTTTGTTGGGAGACTTTTTATTACTGGTTTCATCCTTTACCAACTTTGTGATGATAATAAGCAAGTTACTTTACTACTCTCAAGCTTTTTATTTTCTTATCTATAAATTGAGGATGGTAATAATATCTGTCTTACACAAGTATTACATATAAAGCTTGACATGTTAAGCAGATGTTACATATTATTATTGATGTGTTTTAATAAATTTGAGAATAGAATAATGTAGCATAGACCTAAGAGTTAGGCTATTAGTTGAGAAATGCACGATACATAGTTGTAACACTTAAATAGGAAAGGACAGATACTTCATAGAGTTAAATAGGAAAGGACAGAAACATTATAGATGAATATTTTAAAATTTCACATAGCTTTAAAAAATCTTGAAATGGTTTTTTACACTGTTGTTTCATAGTATTTACGTGTTCCTTTTGTTATGTCAATAGTTAATAGCTCACAAGTGAATGTAACTTTATAATTTATAAGGTACTTTGACATATGTTGCTAAATTTGATTCTAAGAATCATTCTGAGATACTATTTCTACTAGGTTCCAGAAAGGTTAAGCAATTTGTTGAAGATTATACAAGTTAGTAAAATAACCAGTGTGAAACTTGAATCTCCATATACCTATTCTAGTGATTTCTCCATTATTTCTTATTACATGGCAAGAAAAATACACAGCAAGGAACAAATGTGAAAAACTGCTGTTAGTTGTTTGAAAGAGTTAGTATCTTTTCCTAAGCATCAGCCTTATAGAAGAAATAACCAAGACATGAAAGGGGACAGACTAGTTCAGAATCTACTAATTATATAATTCATATATAGACCCAGTGACATTTGAATATAAACTTTGATAAATCAAAATCTTTAGTGGCTATCATTTGCCATTTAAAATATCATTAGTAGAACTGATAATAAACTCTTGCTTTCTTGCACCAAAATGTATTAGGCACTTAATACATTTGGGGTGATTATAAAATATTTTACAATACAGCTATTTCTTAAGTGTTTTTAAATAGTATTGATCATGAAACTTTTTGAAATTTACCATCAGGCCAATGGTGGCAGAGTCTACATAGAACTATGCTTCGTGGTGTTCTGGGGAAAACGTTTCGACTTGTTGGCTATACTATTCAGTATGGCTGTATAGCTCATTGTGCTTTTGAATACGTTGGTGGTGTTGTCATGGTAAGTTTTTATGTTCAAGAATATTCATCTTAAATATATACTTTTTTCAAATAGAAGGAAAATGTGTTTTTCCTTTATTATAGTTGAAGTTATTAATGAATAAAATGTGAAAGTTAACACATAAATTTTTCTAAATATTGGGATAAGAAGAGAGTGTGTTTGAAGTGGCACTGATATAAGGTATAAGGACCATTACTTAAATATTTTCTGTATTCTGTTTCTAATGGGCACAAAAGGTCCTTTTGAATAGTATACAAATAATAGTTCTTACCATTTATTGAATCCTATTTATTGTGTTTCAGGATATGTTTGATGTTTTACACTTATTAACTCATTTAATCTTTTACACTTCTGTGAGATACTTATAAGTAATCCATTATACACATGAGGAAATGAACTGAGAAAGCTTAAGTAATTTACCTGTTCCAGGTCCCGCAGTTAGTAAGTAGGAGACTTGAAATTTCAACACATATTAGTCCAGTTTTCAAAATTACACCTCATAACCACAATATTTAACTATAATTAAAACAAATTTAATTACATAATTAAGACAAATTATTAATCTAATTAGGACTGATTATTCTGCCTAATGTCTACATTAAAATGGTAAAGCTGCTCCCTATCCCCAACTAATACTTTTTCTTAATATTGTATCAGGAAACTACGAACCATGGCTGTTGATTCAAGCCTTTTGCCATGTAAATGAAAGAATAAGTTGATTGACCAGCCAGTCAGTGGTTTTTTTATTGTTATTACTGCTTTCTTAAAAATTAGGTTTACTTTATTAGATTAACATTCTTAACCTCAAGTTAAGCTGGAAATGTATATATTTAACTGAACCTTCCCTTCTTCTTTTTCTTTTTTGTTTTTTTTGAAATGGTTGCACTCTGTTGCCTGGGCTGGAGTGGAATGGCGTGATCTCAGTTTGCTGCAGCCTCTGCCTCCCAGCCTCAAACAATTCTCAAGCCTCAGTCTCCTGAATAGCTGAGACTACAGGCATGCATCACCATGCCTGGCTAATTTTTGTATTTTTAGTAATGATGGGGTTTCACCATGTTGGCCAGGTTGATCATGAACTCCTGGCCTCAAGTGTTCTGCCCGCCTCAGCCTCTCAAAGTTCTGGGATTACAGGTGTGAGCCACCACACCTGGCTGAAACTTGTCTTCCTGATTTTTTTGTAAGTTAGATTGGTACTTCCAAAGGGAGCAAACAAACTTTCATTGTGTTTCTTGTTATTTCTGCCTGAGTAGGAACTTTTGAGTAAAATGTTTTATTTACAAATAAATAGAAACTGTTGTATTTAGATTTTTAAGTGGCTATGATAATTTTTTCCGATTCTGAGGTGGAGGTTGAGTATCCCATATCTGAAATGCTTGGGACCAGAAGTGTTCATGGATTTTAGATTTTTTTTGAATTTGGAATATTTGTATTCATAATGAGATTTTTTGGGGATGGGACCTAAGTCTCAACACAAAATTAATTTATATTTCATTTGTACCTTGTGTGCATAGCCTGAAGGTAATGTTATATAATATTTGAAAGAATTTTGTACATGAAACAAAACTTTGGACTGTATTTTGGCTGTGACACATCACATGGAGTCAGATATGGAATTACCATTTATAGCATCATATAGATACTCAGAACACTTTAGATTTTAGAGCATTTAAGATTTCAGGCTTTTTATTAGGGGTTCTCAACCTGTATATATCAACATTATTGTTTTGAGACATAAAAATAGGAAAATCTTTGATTGCTTCATTGTAAAGATGGGGTCTCTCTAGGTTGCCAGGTCTGGTCTTGAACTCCTGGTCTCAAGTGATTCTTCCAAAATTTTGGGATTACACATGTGAGCCACCATACCTGGCCATGAAAATCTTTAAAGTCCATCTCATCATGCTAGTATTTTTCAGAAGAAAATTTAAGTGGCAGCCCCATGAAGAGTAAGTAATTCTCTTGGAAGAGGAAGATGGGCATAAACTCATTGAGAATAGTATAATACCATTTAATAAGTTATGTTCACTGGATCATATCTGATAGTAATAAGAAAATGAATCATCCCCTCATTCATTCGGCCAATATGTATGGTTTATCAGTTTTGTACCAAACAATGTTCTCAGCTTTGGTTATATAGCTGGGAACATCAGAGAGAAGATCTCTGCCTTCAAGGAACTGACATTCTATAGGGTGCCTAAATTTGGAAACATAGGTAATGTTATTTTATTCGGGCATTATAATGTGAAATCAATAAACCATTTATTCTCTGTTTGTCTATGTTTTCGGACTTATTGGTTACTCTGGAGTTGAACTTATTTGAGAACTGGCTAATTTTTATGAATCATCCCCTAAGCTTTAAGAACATTTGCTTGATTTTCTTTCTTTTAAGCCTGTTCAAATGATTTATGTTAAATTTAAAAGAGATTTTGAACTCAGATTACAAATTGCCTCTCTTTTCAGTGTTCTGGACCATCAATGGAGCCTACAATTCAAAATTCAGATATTGTCTTTGCAGAAAACCTTAGTCGACATTTTTATGGTATCCAAAGGTAAATTCCAGTCATGGATATATTAAATTTACAGTGAAAATACACATACACATGATACCTTTTCTGCAGTTCCTTAAGTTTATCTTTAAAAACTCTCATAAATAACCATATTAATGATGAGCTCGATAAAATTTTGAGTCAAATATTTTCTTTCAGTTTGAGAAATGGTTAATAGTTTCTCAAACATACAATCTCTTGGGTTATTGTATTTCTTGTATCATTGTAAAAACTAATTAGCAGTCCCTTACAATATACGTGTAAACTTGACTTTTTTTTAATTGGGTTTTAGAAGGTTTTGAGTTAAGCATTAGGAACTTAGGGATTACATTAAATATCCACTGTTTTTGTTCTTTAATTTTAAAAGTAATCCTGTAGTTCTATTGATTGCTGTCTTACTTATTCTCTATATATGGCCTATGATGAGCATGTGATGATTTTAATTTTTAAAAAATTTTCTGATACACATTTTTTGAGATGGGGTCTTGCTTTGGCTCCCAGACTGGAGTGCAGTGGTATGATCTCAGTTCCCTGCAGCCTCAATCTCCTGGGCTCCAGTGACCCTCCCCCTCAGCCTCCCAAGTAGCTGTGACTACATGTGTATACCACTGTGCCCAGCTAATTTTTGTAGTTTTTGTAGAGACTGGGATTTGCCATTTTGCCCAGGCTGGTCTCGAACGCCTAAGCTCAAGCAATCAATCGACTCACCTAAGCCTCCCAAAGTCTAGGTATTACAGGTATGAGCCACTGTGCCCAGCCCATTTGATGTTTTTAGATTGCATTATTGTATATGGCTGACAACCAGGAATTTTATATATTATGAGTCTCCTGATTAATTATATTAAGTTGAATAATTCCTGGGCAAATATTGTTTGTCACTAAACCTTTTAAAATCCTATTTCAAATGGTGGTTCCAATCCTTGTGATACCCATTATTCTAATTAACTCCATGAGAATGATTTCTTCCAAATGAATGTCAAGTATTAATAATTTATTTTCTAAAGAGCATCTCTCTGACATCCTAAAATTTTGAGTCCATTTGTTTTTTATAATTCTGAAAAAAATCTATGCCAGCTTTTATTTCAGTAAACTACAACTTTGATTCTCTTGAGCTAGTATTTAGTTTATGGCATAATAAGCAGGTTTAGGCACTTTTCTTTCACTATTCACCTTTGCTATAACCTGTTTCACATTATTAAAAATCATGAAGAATAGTGTATAAACTGTTCTTCACATTTACTGATCTTTCACCATCCTTAGATTCTGCAGATAGAAACTCTTGATCAAGCTATATGGTTTGGCATGCTCCGTAGGTAATTATTCTTCAAATCTTTTACCCATACAACTTCTAGATACTTAATTGTAGATATAGAATTTATAAAATAAAAACTTATATAATAGGTCTGTATTGCTCCCTTTTCTTTTTAACTTATATCAAATTATCCTTATATAGCCTTTGAATTAACTGGAGACCTAGCCTCAGTGTAGCATGAAGACAAGCTTCTGTGTTCCATGCCAGTGACTTTTGATATTCACAATAATATTTGGGTATCCTGAATGAGGAGCTGAACCTGTTGGCTGAATAGTTTTTTAATACAGAGCTGGATAGCGGTTTTTTTTAAATTACTCATTATATTCAGATAAGGGAAACAACTACATTCAGAAAATGAATTCAGAATTTTTGAAGATCTCATTATGTACTCTATTCATCCAGATTTCAGGACAGCTCAAAATCTGGCATTTATGAGATATACCAAAGTAACTTTTAGAGCCAAGAGAGCCGTCTGGTAACTTCTACTTTAAAAATATTACTATCCTGAGTATTCTCTTTCTTTTACCTGCAGCATATAATTCAAGATTTTAGGGGAATCTTTGACCCTGGCAAGGGGTCCTATGTTGTTGGCTGCCTGTTTGTAAGTGTAAAATAACCTTCCATTTAGGCAAGAATAAAAGTTTGCATATCTAGTATCTAAAGCACATGGATTTCTCTTCAGTCAGCTGCACAGAACACTCAACCTTGAGACAGTCAGATTTTTACTACTACTTACTCTTCAAACAAATGGTAGGGAGCACCTAATTTATAAGATGTACTGTGCATTATAGAGAATGTTAAGATTAATGAGATGTTGACACTGGTTTTCAAAAGCTTACTGTGCAGTAGAATAATAAGGATGTTTATAAATATAAATGAGAAAATTTTTAATAAGCTTCCTTTTAAAACTATTTGAAGGAGTTAAGAATCCACGGGCTATCTCTTTTGATCTAAACACTATACATATATCTAGTTAAACTACCAGAAATATCGTTTATATGCTGTCTATGAATGATTGAATTATGATTTCTATGTTGCCATTCAAGTGCAAAGTTTGTTTTAAGGGTGATGTTGATTATTTGATCAAATAATTTAAGCTTCATTAAACACCCATGGAAAAAGTCTCTTCCTCCAAAGCTATCCAAAATCAACTTTGATGGTGTGTTACAATCTTTGCAAATTTGTTTTTCTGAACAGATCCACTGACATGGTTCTAGTTGGTTAGAAAGAAAATATTCTATTTTCAAAAAAAAAAGGCAATACTACGTTGCCTCCAAATTACAGAATTTAATGATTTGCTACCTTTCAAGAAATCATTGTAAATACTGTTTCTGCATTTTCTGTAAAATTTCTAATAAAGATGGTATCTTTTATTATCACATAAAAATGCTTCTTGTGAATTTCTCTTTGATTTAATTATTATCAGGGAAAATTTTGTCTTGCCTCCCAAAATAAACGTTATTTTAAAATTAATGATTTCCATGTAACTGGTCTTCATTTCTTCTGACTTGGCTCCCAAAGAGTTTAGAACCCATTTTAATGCTTCTATAGAGCAGGTATTACGTTTCGGATTTCATCATCATTTTCCTTTTATTTTTATGGCTTTTAATATTATTTTGACCTATGCATGTTTCATTATAAGTAACATTAAACTATTTCTGGAATTAGGTACAATTAATAAGCAAATATGTTAAATCCTTTTAAACGTGTGTTAGTCAACAGAATTCACATATTGCTCGTTTTATGCAGAAATAGCATTGTGTTCTGTTTGACTGTGGTCATAGGTTCTATATTCTTTGTCTCCTTCCTTTCTACTTTTAAGGATCTTTCTTATTTTTTATTACCAGATATATTGTCACTCCTTGTGTAAATCATATCTTCTGTATGTAATCAGATGTTTATTGGTTTTATATGTTTGAGATCTCATTTTATTTTTCAGAGTGTATGTTTGGGCAGCCTTTAGTATTTTATTTTGTTGTATCTTTTGATTTTTTTCTCAAATATAAGTTCTTTTGGCTGTACTATAAATTATATGGGTTATAGGACTTAAATGTTATCATTTCTTAATTATTTGAGCTCTAGGGGAAACATGGATGATGTTTTTACCTTTTTAGGTATGCTCTAGAGTCAATCAGTGCTACTGGCTAGACAGCAGAGTTTATTTACTTAATTTGTTAGTATTTATATGGAATTGTGGGGAGGTTTTTTTTTTTTTTGGAGACATAGCCTCAGTCTGTTTCTTAGGGTAGCAAGATCACAGCTCACTGCAGCCATGAACTCCTGGCTTCAAGCAGTCCTCTTGCCTTAGCCTTCAAAGCACTGGGATTATAGTTGTGAGCCACTGTACCTGGCGTATATAGAATTGGTTTTCCACAGTTTGGGTTCTAAGAATTTGGACACAGGAGTAAAGCATAGTGGATACAATGCAAAAAGATAATTCTTGTAGAATTATCTGAACGTTTAGAATCTTCTTAAATTATCAGAAACGTTAGATAGCTTTTTCATCACTCTTATTGTTGGATTCTCACCTAAAGTAGTCAGTCACAAAGGTTCTCAAAGCCAGTAAATGTATCAAAGAGTCAGTATATGAGAGGATAAAGGGTATGGCTTTGTTCAAGTTGCCTTATAAAAGTATTAAAGCAGTGGCATGCATGTGTTTATGCTTAATAAATAATACTGATATTTCTTTGACTTTTTCCCCCTCAGAGGTGACATTGTGATTGCAAAAAGCCCAAGTGATCCAAAATCAAATATTTGTAAAAGAGTAATTGGTTTGGAAGGAGACAAAATCCTCACCACTAGTCCATCAAATTTCTTTAAAAGCCATAGTTATGTAAGTAATATTTCAATTATATTATTCTTTGCTGTCATAATTGATTAACATTAACTGAATGCTGACAAAGGAAAATAATGATTATTCATATTTCAAATGTAGGAAAAAATGCATCCAGGAGAATTTTAATATATTTATATCAAGAATTCAGCTATTATATTTCATATATTTTAGTTACTTTCAAAACCCTACATAAACATCTTAGTAATATTGTTACAGGCAAGATTTACCAGTGGATGCTAAAATTATTGGACAAAAGGTTTGAGGAGAAATAGAATTTATGCATAATCTTTTTTTTTTTTTTTTGAGATGGAGTTTCACTCTAGTTGTCCAGTCTGGAGTGCAATGGCGGAATCTTGGTTCACTGCAACCTCTCCCTCCTGGGTTCAAGCAGTTCTCCTGCCTCAGCCTCCCATGTAGCTGGGATCACAGGCATGTGCCACCATGCCCAGCTAATTTTGTATTGTTAGTAGAGACGGGGTTTCTCCATGTTGGTCAGGCTGGTCTCAAACTCCGGACCTCAGGTGATCCACCCGCCTCAGCCTCCCAAAGTGCTGGGATTACAGGCATACGCCACCTCGCCTGGCTTGCATAAATTTAAAGTATCTCTCCCAAGATACTTATTACAAAGGGAAAAACCTTAGAGGTGAAACCTGTCAGTTACTGAGTTAACTTCATCAGTAACACGACATTATCAATATAATGCAGCCTCTGGATTGAAGCACCAAGAAGGTCACTTGCAGGAAAAAAATGTTACAGCCTTAGTCTAATCATGAGAAAATGTAAGACAAACCCAAATTTAGGGTCATTCTACAATATAACTGGCCAGTACTCTTAAAAAATGTCAAGGTCATAAAAAACATGGAAAGGTCAAGGGAGTGTTATTGGAGCAGACAAAGGAGATAGGATAACTAAATACATTTGGGATCCTGGCTTAGACTGTCCACTGACTATTAGTTGGAAATCTGACAAAATCAAATAAACCCTATGGTTTTTTTTTAACATCGTATTTAAATTTTGAGAATCGAAATTGTATATATATGAAAATCATATACAACCACCTTGCCTTTACAGCTAGAAAAAGTGCAAGGACAGTAAAATGGAAGAATGAAGAGTAGATAAAATGCATTAGCTCCTTTCACCAATCATGTGGCTTCTGTAACAGAGCTTCTCTGGAAGAGGTGGCCTTTTGTTTACTCCACATATATTCTTCTTACTTTAATAATTATAGCTAAATTTTCTACCTTACTGTAAATCTTCTGTTGCTATCAAATTATTAATGCAGCTGTTTGTTAACTAACATTATCTCTGTATTCATCCTCAATGTAAACACATAACTGAATAATTACATTGCCAGTGTAAATTTATTTTGAACCATAATAGCCTCTGATTGCCCTATAAGTAAGTTTGATCAATAGACTGTTAAATAATCAATTATTTATTTACCATCTGTAATCGACTACGGTTCAACTGTGCAAGTGTTTTTGATGTTTATTATGCATTTACAATGCTAAATACACAGTAATTGTTAGCTTATGGTGATAACAGTGTTAAAGATGATAGTGTGCTGTCAGATAACATTTTTCTACCATTGCTTTCATCATGGACACTGTATCCTCTTCTTAAATAATGTTGGATTTTCCATATAGTTCACCTTCATATGACTATTAGCATTTCCTAAGATATTCTAGTCACTTCTACATTGCTTTAGCAACATGTATGTACTTGAAACCAGAACTGGTATCAACAGACAGAACAACAGAACAAATACATAACATCCTCTAGGTACTTAACACCATATCATTGTTACTGTTGATTTTTTTTAAGAGTTATTAGAGGTGGATGTCAGTACCAAAGGATTCAGATAAAGTCTCTGCTAAATTACCAGAGCATATAACCAGCACTGTAAGATGTAAATTTTTTAAAGTTCTATTAGAGGAAAATATTCTTTGAGTTTTGTTTTTGATTTTAATTAACACATAATGGTTGTACATTATTTATGGAGAAATAGTATGATGTTTTAATATGTATATACATTGTATACAAATGAAATTAGGACATTTAGCATATCCATTACCTCATACATTTTTTGTTTGCTTATAGTGAGAACATTCAAAATCCTCTTTCAGCACTTTTTTTTTTTTTTTTTTTTTTGACAGGGTCTTGCTCTGTTGCCCAAGCTGGAATGCAGTGCTACAATCTCAGCTCACTGCAACCTCCTCCTACAGGGCTCAGATGCTCCTCCCACATCAGCCTTCTGAGTTGCTCTTTCACTTGTTTTGAAATATACAATACAATATTGTTAACCATAATTACCCTACTGTGCAGTAGAACACTAGTAGGGTATTCTATTACTGAGTTTTTATGTTTGATAAATGTACAAATTAGATAACAATTGCCATTTTGTTCCGGGTATATCCCATTCACTTTTGTTGGACACCTTTCTAAGTTTACAATACATCATTCTAATAATTTTGGTCAGCACTTATTTTATACTTCCTCCATACTGTTGAGAATCTTTTCAAAGGTTAACTTATTTAATTATTACAACAGCAACCCAGTGAGGTAGGTAATACTAATATTTTACTGATAGGTAATCAAAAAAAGAGGCTAAATAAATTGCCCAATTTCAAACAGTAAGAGGAAGAATGAGGATTGAAATACAAATAGTGGCTTTAGAATCTGTAATCCTCACCATGCCACTACTACTTCTTTCAGAATACCCTCTGCCTATCTATTCTGTTCCCATCTCATCAAATTATACTTACTTTAAAATGTATTTGTGTTTATTATTTAAAAAAAAAAAACAAAGGGAAGTATTTCTGATCAGGTGCAGTATTGGTTTTGAAAGAGGCCAGTGTTTTTGAGAGTTTCTCCCTTGCCAGTTTTTCTAGGCTGGGTTATTCAAGTGATAAGAATTGTGTAGCTAGTACAGAACCACTTTAGCAAATGTGTTCCATAAATCAAGGTGATTTATAACAATATTTCATCCAAGTTTGGAGTGCTTTGAAAAGATAGCCAAAATGTTTCCAGGGTCTCCTTCTTGTGTGTGTGTCCCTTTTTTCAGCTATCTCAGAAGCACACTGGTGCTATTTTATGAAATAAGTGTCTTCTCTTACCTCTGCATCCTCTTAGAAAACGTATTTTTTTATGAGATGAAGATATTACTATTCATATCTTGATTGAGCTGCTTAATAAAATGAATATTAAAATATGTTTTGAATTCCAGGCAAAAAAAGTTTATTCTTGTATATAAATGCTTCAGAAAGCAAAGCGCTAAATTGTTCATTGGAACCTAGCCTGTAGAGTTTAGCATATCAAAAAAGTAGTATTGTTGGTAGGTTGGCAGAAAATAATATAAACAAACCATTGGTTAAGTGATATAGTGATGTGGGATCATTTTATTCATTCCAGAGTTCCTTTTTGTTTGTTTGTTTTCCATTCCAGAGTTTTAAAAGACCACATAGCAATCAGTCTTATAATTCAGCTTTATTTTTTGCTGTTAGGTATTTGGAAACTAAGTAGTCCCTATTAAGATGCTATATGCTATTGCTGTGGGTTTTGCTTACTGTGAGGGTACTGAAGCCGATAATTCTTTCCTGGGGTTATGAACTGAGCACTGGCTACTGTAAGGATATGAGATTAATTTGTGACTCTCAAAAAAAAAAAAAATTATCATGAGCTCAAACATCTTGAGTACCTTGCCTTTCTCTGTATGCTACAGGAATTTCTCAGTTTCCTGCCAGAATCCACTACTTTATCAGAAAAAATAATTTAGTTGGAAGTAGTAGCATGTAGCAAATAAGAAATAAACAATGAATTGGCATTCTCATATCAGTTTGCACAGCAGGCAAAATGCAAAGTAAACCTCTAATTTAGTCTTCAATCCCTTAGGGAGGCCAGGGCTCAGAAAAACACTAAAATTTTGTTATAAAGCCACTTATGAAGAAAAGTACTTTATAATGTTTATTAGGATAATATTGTATGATAATCCAGGACTATGCTTTTAATCCATGGGGTAATTGGAATAGTTAGGCATTTTGAAATATAGTAAATTCCTATCAAAAAACATGTTGTAAAATCTACATCTAAATAAACTCCCTCAATACCACATCCTCCTATAGGGAAGAGTTGTGTGTAGTTACTCCACTCTGAGCTTCCTATTATTTTTGTGAACTCATTCCAGTTAGGCTTTGGTCTCCACCACTTCACTGATGGTTCTTGTCCAAGTCCCCAGTGATTTCTCTTGTCACTCCAGTGATCAACTCTCAGTCCTCATCATACTTAAGCTATTGTTAGTATTTGAAATAATTATTCTCAAAACCTGGTGTCACTTATTTTTAGAACACTGCTCTTTCTAGGTTTTTTCCCTATCTTTCTGACTGCTGCTTCTGAATTTACTTTATTGGTTCCTCCTCATATCCAAACATTGGAATGTTCTTCAAATCTTGGAGTTAACTAAAGGTTCATATTTTAAACTTCTGTTGTTTATATACACTTACACTTTAGCTGACCTCATCCTGTCTCATGGTTTTAAGTACAGTACTTTTAAATTTACTCTCAAATTTATATCAACTATAACCTTTTCCCTCAACTCCAGAATCATGTCTAATTGTCTGATATCTTCATTTCAAAGAATAATGGTCATCTCAAACTTACTGTATCCAAAACTAAAATCCTGATTTTCTTTCCCAAACTGGCTCCTTCTGTACACTTCCCAATCACAGTAAAGAATTAATAAGGATATCCTGGACTTGAACTCAGATCCGGAGCAAGTAAACTTAATAAACATTTATAGAACTCTCCACTTAAAACGTAGAAGATATGCACTCATATCAGTACCACATCACACCTACTCACAGGTTTAAATGAAATATTGGTTGGCCGTTATTAAGCACGATTGATGGTATAAGGGAGGTTTTCAATACCCATTTTTAGACTGCATTCTAGCCTGGGCAACTAAACAATACTCCCGTTCTCTCTCCCTCCTCCTCTTCCTCTTTTTTCCTCTTCTTCATTCCTTTTTTTCTCTTTCTTCCTTTCAAAAAAAAAAAAAATTACTTTCTTTCTCTGTCACTCTACATCCAGTCCCTTAGCAAATCATGATTAAACCTTTTATATATAATCAGAATCAAGCCACATTTTGCCACTGTCACTGCTACCCTCCATTAGTTTGCAAGGTAAACTCGTCTGTCTCATGTTGTTGCAGTAGTTTCTGAACTGCTTTCTTTGCTTATACCCTTCCCCTTTTCTTGCTTCTCTAACCCTTCCGTTGATATTCTCCACACAGCAACTAAGGTCATCCTTTTTGATGACGATGCTTTTTAAGAGCAATTATGTCACTCTTCTGCTCAAAGACTCCAGTGGTTCCCCATCTCATAATAAAAGCCATAGGTCTTACGGTGGCCTGCAAGACCCTGCATAATCATTTTCCCTGCTGCCTTTCTTGTAATTATTGTGTCATTGGAACACAATCATCCCCATTAATTTATCTGTTGTCTGTGTTTGCTTTCTTTAAAATGTCAGAGTTGAATAGTTGTGACAGAAACTATATGGCTTGCGACGCCTAGACTATTTCCTATCTGGCCCTGTACAGAAAAAGTTTGCTGACCCCTTGATCTAGAGTGTAAGATTCTTGGTGACAGGGACTCATTTTGATCACAGTTGATTTCCTATCATTTCAGCTGTGATTTGGCAGCTATTAGATATTTTTTAAATACTTGAAGGGTAGACAGATCTAGGTATATATGAATAGGTTGCTAGTTTCTTTTCTACTTCTACTCATTTTTTCTACTAGTTTCTATTGCAAACTTGCTCCCAAGTAAATGCATGCTGTTACGACTTCTCAGAAGATGTTCCTGGAGCCTACCACACTGCTGAACTGGCCAATCTGTGGTCATTCTAGTCTTCCTAGACTTCAAAGCTAAGCTATTTCCAATGGTAAGACTACCTGATCACCTTACAAAGTGGCAGGTGAAAATTGTACAAAATTTTGGAATGTTCCTCTTACTGTGTACCAGAACAGCAGAGTGCTGATTAAATGTTTCTTTTCCTAAGTAACTTGTATTTAGGACGGTATATTTTTCAGGCCTTTCATTAAGCAGAATAAAAATTTACCAGGCTCTGAATTGACTTATCACCATAGAATATTGAATTTAGTTAAGATTAAGTTTCTTAAAGTATTAGGGGAATTGAGCTATTCTGGGCTTACCTTATTCTCATTTTAAAGGAAGCTTTGGTGACCCTGAAATGCTATGGTGGTTTTATTGCAATGAAGGCTATTACCCTTGCAACACTCATTGCCTACTAATTAGGTTGCATAGCAATAAGAATTTCTGCATTTCTGTAGAGATACATGTGCCTTTTGAACATATTTAACTATTATACAGATATTTTCTTTTGGTCCTTTTATTGGTTGACAGCCTAAGGATGGGTAAAATTGTTACCTGGAGTTTATAAATGTCTCCTTTTAGTGTACACTGCTGCTTTTCTCTGGTTGTTCATTGTAAAATGAAGAATCATTTTTAAAATTTCAGTTAAAACCTTATTTATTGAATTTTTGTATCTTTTTTTTTTTGTTTTCAAGACAGAGTTTCGCTCTTGTTACCCAGGCTGGAGTGCAATGGCGCGAATTCGGCTCACTGCAACCTCCGCCCCCTGGTTTCAGACAATTCTCCTGCCTCAGCCTCCTGAGTAGCTGGAATTACAGGCACGCGCCACCATGCCCAGCTAATTTTTTTGTATTTTTAGTAGAGATGGGGTTTCACCATGTTGACCAGGATGGTCTCGATATCTTGACCTCATGATCCACCCGCCTCGGCCTCCCAAAGTGCTGGGATTACAGGCTTGAGTCACCGCGCCCAGCTGAATTTTTGTATCTCAATAGTAGTAGCTACCCTGTATTGAGAATAGATGTATTAATAGAACATAATTATGGAAATTTCAGTATATTTCTCTGGTTAGTGCATAGCAGTCTTTTGCTATTGTTACAGGAAACAAATCTCTTAGAAAAATCATGTTTTTACTTTTATCTGAGGGCTACCAAAAATACCTGGCTATGTAAAGGTTTTTGGTTGTCTTTGATACCATAGATGTCAGCGTTATACACAAAAAGGTGAAACATTGTTCACCAAATAATAAGCCACTACCATAGCAGAGCGATGGGAGGTGAATAAAGAATGTAGTTATTTCTTATGTTTTTCTTTGTAAATTGTAGAGTATGTTATTACTGTCTTATATGTAAGAATTAGAGACAGTTTTACATTTCAGAATGAAATGATTAAATGATCTCATGCAGTGGTGGTATAACGTATTAAAAGGAGAACTTGGAAATGTAACAATATCAATATGGCAATAATAAAGCTGTTTTACAGTGTATTAGAAAATATTTAAATAAAACTGATGAACAACCTAAGAAACAATCTTACTAATTAGCATTACAAAATGATAACAAAATGATAACATTATATAGTTAACATTAATAGTCCTTTAATGTGTACTATATATTTAGGGTATAGTTCGAATCCCTGAATATTCTAAATGCTGTCTTTCTGTTTGTTTAAATGTCATTTCCCTTAGCTAAAAGTCAACCATCTGGTCTTCTATTGCCATTTGTATTATAAACACAAAAAAGTACTTCTCTGTAGAGAGAGGAATCATCAGATTGAAAGGGCTTGTGTATTATAAGCTGCTGATATACTAAATCCTTATGTCATTTAAATAGAAGAACTACCTAATAATGTCACTTATTACAACTAGGGTATCTAAACAAGGGACTTGTTTTTTGCAGACTATAGTGATAAAAACCGGTGTTACACATCCATATCTCAGCAACGGCTCCTAAGACAATCAATCATGGCATACTGCTAATGCCTTGATTGCAGCTGATGTGGAGGAAATATGTTTACTCTTTTGCTAAAGTGAAGTTCACCGCGGAGGTGACGTGACTTTTTCATCCTATAGCTAACACAATTCTGAAGATAAATTTCACTCATTGTTTACAAGTCTGAAGTGTTTTTGTTCAGATGTCAACACTAAAGAATGATCTTTGAGGCTTCTCAACTTAAGTGTTTTCTGATGTGTTCTCTAAACGTTTTCAGAATAAATTTGAGCTTAGTTTCACAGTAATATGTAGTTTACAATAATCTTATTTTTTTGTAGTATATTTTGTTTTTATATGTTTGAAAAGATGTATTATATGAAGATCAGCATTTCTACTGAAAGAGTAGCAGGTTGTCCTGAAATTTGTATGGGTTGCTCTCCTAGAAATATTTTAACTACTCAAAAGTTAGAAAGTCAGTGCCATTGGTATGAGTCTAGAGAGGCAGGATACAGTTGAGTAAAAGGAAAATACTATATGTATTTTTATCTGCAAGTTATCTGGATCTTTAGAGTTGTTCTCTTCTTTAAAGTTGCTTAAAAGTCCTTTGCAAAAATTAAAGACCAAAATTGTAACACTGGTGTTCAGGGTAAGCACCTGAACCAGACTCCAAACTCTGTTGGTAGTAAGGAAAATCTATTCCAAGTGTTATGTGGCTTTGTAATCTAAAATTTTTTTTTTTTTGAGGCAGAGTCTCACTCTGTTGCCCAGGCTGGAGTGCAGTGCAGAATCTCGGGTCACTGCAACCTCTGTTTCCCAGGTTCAAATAATTCTCCTGCCTCAGCCTCCTAAGTAGTGGGACTACAGGTGTGTGCCACCACGCCTGGTTAATTTTTTTATTTTTAGTAGAGACAGGATTTCACCATATTGGCCAGGATGGTCTCAAACTCCCTGACCTTAAGTGATCTGCCTGCCTCAGCCTCCCAAAGTGCTGGGATTATAGGCGTGAGCCACTGCGCCCAGCTGCTAAAGCAATCTTGACTAGGTCTGTTGGAAAAGCTGCTGTTGACTAGGTGAAATATATTCAATTGTCTTTTGGAGTAAGCAGCTAAATGAAGTTTTGATGTTAGTCACTTTGGGTAATTAAAATTTGGTAGATTTTTGTGAGTAACTTAATCTTAGCCTATAAAAATATTCTCACGAAACCAAAAGATTTTCTACCTAAAACAAGAATGAAAAAGAGGAAAAACAGATATAAAAGCAGGTAAGCATATTATAAAATGGCTAAAGTTATTAAATTAGCAAGAAAATATTGGCATTACAAGTTGTTGCACTGCCAACCTAGACGTGAAAGCGTTTTCCTCCTGGGTGGAATTTTCATAATTACTTTAGGAAAATGTATAAATCACTTAGTATGGCAGGGCTAGTACCTGCATCCAGCTAAATACAAATGCAGAGGCAACAGGGAAAGGAGACTAAGCAGTATTTAACAAAGTACTTACAATTATAGGTAATTTAAATTTCTTGGATGCAACTTAAGATTCTCATCTACTTTGTGTACATTATGTGTGGATCTTGAAAGCAAGAAGGATTAGAGAAAGCTGTTGTCTAAAGAGACTTGAAATTTGACCTGACTTCCCAATGTAAGTAAAGTCAAAGTAGGTCTAGGGACACAAACTGATGATAATGGACTTCTAACCCCAGACCAGTCCCAGACTCACACATCTTCCTTAATGAGCTGCCTTCAAAGTGGCCAGACCACTGGACTTGGAGGAGGGGACATCTAAGGGTAGACTGGGAGAGCAGACTTAAATAGCTTTCAGGAGGCTATAGGAGTATGCAAAATTTGCCAGACATTAACCTTTCAACTTTCTTTTTTTATGTGTGCATTCATTAATTCCACAGACACTTACTGAGCACTTACTTGAGGGCCAGTACATGTTAGGGTAGTCATCTTTGCCCCCAGCAACACCAATAGAACTTTCTGAAATAATGGAAATATTCTGTATCTGTGCTGTCTGATATGGTAGCCACTAGCACATGTGGCTGTTAAACACATGAAGCATGGCTAGTGTGTCTGAGGAACTGAATTCTTAATTTTATGTAATTTTAAAATGTAGGTAGCCACATATGTGACTAGTGGCTGTCATATTGGACAGTGTAACTTTAGGAGGTTATAGTTAAGTTGGAGGAACAGACAAAGAATTACAGTATGATGTAATAGAATTATGCACAAGATGCTTTAATAAGGCACAGGGATATTTATCCAGACTGGGGTAGATGCGATTATTCCAGAATGGGAAGGTGAAACCTGACTTGAAGTTTTAAAGAGTAAGTCGGAGGTAGTCAAAGCAAGCAGCATATTCTGAAGGCCTAGAAGTGAGTATAGCATTGTGCTTTTGGGGAGCTGCCAAAAGTAAGAGTTCCAGTGTATGACACATATAATAGGAGGGATGAGTAGTAAGAAGAGAGAAAAATGAAAGGTAGATGCCAAGCATGGGTAGTCTGTTATGTGGGAGGATGTCTTAAACCCAGGAGCTCAAGGTCGACCTGGGAAATATTGCAAGACCCCATCCTTAAAAATAAAAGTAAACAAGGCTCAGTACCTTTTATATTTCAAGCACAGGGATAACATGATCAGGCTTAGTTTTTATTTAGTTTCTGTGAGTCCATTCTCATGTTAGTGTAGATTTAAATAGAGGATGGCTAGGCGTAGGAGAGCCTGGAGGCAGAGACCAGTTAATAGGCTGTGAGTGAGGCATAACTGAGATAATAACATTGAGAATAAAAACAAGTACAAAGATTGCAGAAAGATTAAGGAAATAATCTTGACAAGATTGGATGCTGGAAGAAAGGGAATCAAAGGGCTTAAAAATGACACCCAAGTTGTTAGTTCTTGCCACAGGATCGGTGGTACAAGAAAATAGGGTTGTTGGGGGAGAATGTTAATTTGGGAAATGGAAAGAAGATATATACAATTTTGGACAAGTACAGAAGTCTAATAATTTTAAGGTAGATTATATTTTACATTAATACTGTGGCAATTAAATTTTATAATAAGTAGCAAAAAAGCATTGCTTTCCCCAAATGACATCTGGATGCTTTGCTATTCCCTCCTTCATGTCCACAGTCTATTTTTCTCTCTTAGTCAAAACAATGTTTTGATGCGCTTAGCCCCTAGATCACTCTTACTTCTTAAAAAGCTTCAACTTCTCTTTGTATCTGCATCATCGCTAAAAAATGTCATCTGTCATCCACCTGCATATTTTGCAATTTTGCATTCACAAAGCTAGATTTTATTCTAAATAATCTGCTGGGTTTGATACATTAGAGTTGTATTTTTATGAGTAAAACACAAACAGAAGTGTCTGTCAGATATATTCAACAATGCCTGTTTTAAAAAGCTGCATCAGTAACATTAAGTACAAAAAGACCGACATATTTAATTTTAATCATTTCTTTTTTGAAATATGGCTACTTTTCTACTGATAATCTATTTCTAATACCCTTTCGATATAAATCTGTTTTTCTAGCCAATCTCTATATGAAGCAGCTCTGCATAGCAACAGGAGACTGAAAAGAGCTACAGAGATTCATCTGTAGCAAAAAAATCCATAAAGGATGAGTTTGGATTTTGGGAAGAATTAAGTAGAGTGCCAGGAATAAAACTTCTGGTGGCAACATGTTAGTACATATTGTGTGCAGTATGCATCTGATTTACTGTTTAGAACTTTTTCTGAGA